ACCGAGCAGCAACAACTCAAAAAGATCACTTACCAGAGCTCTCCTCTCCTGCATCATGCACGCCAGAGACAGACTGCTGGGACTGGCTAGACCCCTCCAGAGTCAAAAAGAGTTCCTGACTCGCCGCTCGAGTCCTCCAACTCGACCTCCTCGTCCACCATTTCCTCATCGGAGTTGAGTCCACTGTCTTCAGCCCCACCAAAGTATCCACAGGGCTCTTGGTGGTGGAGATGGAGTCGCCACCAAGGATGGCACCCATTCTTTATAGAAGCAGCAGATCCTTGGCCCAGCACTGAAGTGACGGTTTGACTCCCTTGCCTATTGGTACGCCTGCCTCAGCTCCTTTATCTTTGCACGACATTGATGTGTGTCCCGGTCGTAGCTCTTATCCAACATGCCACAAGAAATCTGACTGTAGGTATCAAAGTTCCTACAGCTAGAGTGGAGCTGGGACTGCACAGCCTCCTCACCCCACAGCGCCAGCAGATCTAACAACTCAGGTGTGCTCCAAGCAAGACAGCGTTTGCTGCGGGGAGCCACCAGGGTCAGCTGGGAAGATGTGATGTGAGTTGTCCATGCCAAACAAACAGGACGTAGAATTTCAAAAATCCCCTGGTCTTCAAAGGGGGAGAGGTGGATGCCTGTGTACCTGGGACCAGGGCAGTGGAGTTCGAACTGCTGCCCAGAGTGGTCAGGATGGACATTGTGGGACACCTCCAGGAGGCCATTTACAGCAACATAACCAAGCTCAGTGTCTACACCAGGAGTAGGCAACCTATGGCACGTGTGCCAAAGGCAGCACGCGAGCTGATTTTCAGTGGCACTCACACTGCCCGGGTCCTGGCCACCAGTCCGAGGGGCTCTGCATTTTAATTTAATTTTAAATGAAGCTTCTTAAACATTTTAAAAACCTTATTTACTTTACATACAACAATAGTTTAGTTATATATTATAGACTTATAGAAAGAGACCTTCTAAAAACGTTTAAATGTATTACTGGCATGCGAAACCTTAAATTAGAGTGAATAAATGAAGACTCGGCACCCCACTTCTGAAAGGTTGCCGATCCCTGGTCTACACTGAACCTTTGTCGATATAACTTTGCCACAAAAAGCTTTATGCCTCTCATCAAGGTGATTTTATTTTGTCGGCAAAGCAGGAGGGTTTTGTCAGCAGAAGGAGCATTGTAGTGTGTACACATCCACTGTTTTGTCAATGAAAGCTGACTTTTGTCGACAAAACTCTATAGTGTAGACAAGGCCTTAGTTTATGGGCTCACTCCTACATTTCTTGGGCCTCCAAAATGCCCATTTAAGTCAGTAGGCTTTTGGGTGCCAAGGAGTAAAGTACCAAGGCACAGATTTGAAAAGAACTCTGTATGTGTCTTGTGCTATATTAATTACTGTTAGGAGTAGTAACAATGTAGCAAACAGAATGATAACACTAGGAGAACATGAACTCTTAAAAACAACTATTCTGTTTTCATGCAGATGGTTCTAGTAACAAAAAAACAGAATGAGAATTAGAGAAAATGGAGCCAATCCTACATTTCTTGTGCACCAAAACTCCTATTGCTGGCAATGTGTGATATCAGAATTTAAACAGAATCTTTAAGATGTTGACATGGAGCATTAGTAAAGTTTTTTGAGTGTAGTTTTTTGGATATGCAAGTGCAGTATGAGTGAAAGTCATCCCTTCCCCCATAATGAATAAATGGGATTTGTTATTTATTTATTATTAATGGGATTTAATTTTGTTATTTATTATTAGTGGGATTTATTCAGGAAAATAACTGAGAATTGGGGGATACAATCCATACACACCCCCAAAATGAGAAAACCACAGCTCCTATATGGCAGCTATTCTAGTCAATGAACTGAAACAGTGTTTGCAACTGCTATACAACCCCCTAGATCAGTGGTTTTCAACTTTTCATTTGCGTACCCCTAAAAAAATTGAATGGAGGTGCGGACCCCTGTCAAAATCTTAGACATAGTCTCTGGACTCCCCGTGGTTCGCAGACCACTGGTTGAAAACCACTGCCCTAGATAGTGGCTCCAAGCCACTAGATCTATCAAAGTGTGGGTCCAATAGGCTCTTCCGGAGTCCTAGTCACAGCTAGTTCAGAGCTCCCTGCACAGCACACAGGGAATGTGAACGGCCATCTATGCAACTGACCAAGTACTGTGCCTTACTGCACAGCCCTACTACAGAGCTTAAGTGTCATGGCGAGCCTTGAATGGGCCCTCCATGGGTGAGTGAGTTTCATCCTGTCTGAACAGTTGTGTGACTTTGCTGGTTCTAGTTACTCTGGCACCTGGTATAAAAATGGCAGATAGTCCATCATTTGCATGAACAATTCAATCCCCAATTCCGTGGCACTCGTGTAGAATTCATGCACTCTCTGAAGATATTGTTCTCATGCTCTCTTCCATTCCGCTTTCTTAATTATTATTATTTATATTACAGTAGTATCTAATGGCCTCAGTTAAGTTCAGAGCCCCAAGAGATAGTCCCTGCCCCAAGGAATCTAAAGCTTTGACCCAGCAAAGACTTACTCTGGGATTACGCACAGTGTGGAAAATTAAACCAGGAGTGAATCTCTGCGGGATTGGATCCTACACAGACAAGATACGGGGTGGGAGAAAGGAAGTACTATCCCCTCCATTTTACAGATGGGCAACGAGGCACAGAGCAATTAGCTCGCTGATGTGCTGTGACCATTGCTTATCACATTCCTCATATGCATTTCATTGATATTTTGTGCTTCAGCCCTCTGTTTGTCACTTTCCCTTGTTGCCATGTCTTATCGTTAGATTGCATATTCTTTGGGTCAGGGACCAAATATTTTTTTGGTTATGTGTTTGTACAGTGCCTAGCACAATGGGATCTAATCCCTGATTGGGGGCGCCTGGGCACCACTGCAATGGCAATGCAAATAAAGAGTAATAGAAGTCTGTAGCAGAGACAAGAATTGAGCTCAGACCTCTTCTATTTTAGTTCAGTGCCTTGACTACTAGACCATTCTGCCTCATTTATCATACTGTATTTTAAAAAACAGGGGTTCCCCATTGGCCCACCAAATGCTCTTCATCATTCTTTCCCTCGTTATCTTGTATGGTATAAAGGCAAAGTTTTAACATAAGTGCTGATATGTATATCAAAGTTTGCATATGTGCTCTGTAGAAAAAATAATATATGTAACACGGTGTCCATACAAACACTAATTCCTCTAATATTCTGAATGAAAATTGGTAAATAAAGCCCCGATGTTTCAGCTTGAACATTCCAAGTACTGTAGCCTCTTTTGGGCATGGAATAAATCCTCTCTATTTGGAATACTAGAGGAATTATTGTATATAAGTGTACATGGTGCATGAAAGTTATTTCACACCATATGTTTGTATTTTTCACACAATGCAAAATAAAACTGTAATGCCATTTTTATGTCACTTTGAAAAAAGTAGGATCTTCTGAGTGATAGGTAAACAATAAAAGGCCCAAACAATACAAAAACAAACAGTCCTCATGAAAACTATTTCTAGTATTTAAAAACATTCCTCTAATGTTTACTGAGACTGGGTCACAGTGCATCGTGTGCTGTTTGAGACATTTTTAGTATTTCAGACGTTATATGGACTGGTTTTGGAATGTCCTAAAGGAAGGTTGAAATGGATACATCTGATCCTGTATACATTTCTCCTTCACATACAGCTAGGATTTTAATATTGAGAGGCATTTTCTCCCCATAAAATAATCTCACCAAAATTGTGAAACTCAAAAAAACCAAAAACCTATGAACTAACACAGCTCACCATTTGAGCACACTACTTGTTGTCTCATCCACTCTCCCTGCTTATATTCACCTCTATTTAGGCCCCAATCCTGCAAACGGGTGGATGCCATTGCCTGCAAAGAACCACTGGGGCTCCATTCAGGTGCACCCACAGGAATGAAATCGGGGCTTTTGACTGTAAATTACGCAGGACAAGGACTGCGCCTTCACAGCACCTAGCCCACTGACAGTACTTCATAACCAATAATGATGACCACAGTGTATATTTAATACACTCTTCTTTATCATTTTCCTAAATAACCTCATGTCACGTGGTTCCCGCAGGACGATGTCTGATTGGGAAATTGTTTTTATCGGGCCATTTTAATAAACCAGTACTGAGGCTAACACATTACAGCCACATAAAAATAACCTCATTCCTATCCACTGGGCAGAATCTCCTCTTCTCCCGCACACGGGGAGGTGATTCCACAGCTCTGGACTAGCCCAGGCTCCTGTCCCTTTAAACGTGACCGACTAGAGTCCAGCCTTGCTGGAAACTCTGCGCCTGCCTGCGCCCCCTCCTCTGCCCCCAGCCCCGGGCAATGGCGCCTTCGCAGCGCTCCCCGCTGGAGGAGGTTGCCGTGCGGCGGGCTAGCGGAGGCGGCCGCATGCACAGGGGAAAGGCCGCCCGTTTCCTTTGCCGCTGCCCGGGCTTTCAAGGGTGGGGTGCGTGAGGGGGGATCACTGCACAAAGGAAAGTGCGTAAAGCTAATCCCGGCTCGGTTCGCTCCCCGGCCGGGGCCAGGGCAATCAGGGCGGGGACGTGTCTTCTCGGGTTCATCAGCCCATGTGGCTGCGTGCAGCAAGCACCGCGCGCTCTCGGCGGGGGCGCTTAAGCTTTGCCCCCCACCCACCCCACCCGGGCGCCCCTTTCCTGCCCACAGAGCGGGCGGCGTTAGTGTCACAGGCTCGTTCTGCACGTTTGGCTTTTGCAGTCACCGGCTCAGCTGCCAGGGGAGCCGGGGTGCATCTGACACCCTGCAGGGTGGATGCATTATTCAGCACACGGTGCATTCTGAGCTGCGTGAGCCTAGACCCTATGGGGCTGTGCATGCTGCGGGGGGGGGGGGGTGTGTGTGTGTGTGTGTGTTCGTTCTCTGGTACAAACACACGCCAAGGCTGGGTGGGGGTGGGATTCAGGGGCAGAGGAACATGCACTTACTTTATCTATGGTGCCCGGGAGCAGGCGGTCCAGCAGCCGGCACAGCACCACCCCGTCTTTCAGAGACGATTGCAAAAACCCCTCGGGGTCCGAGATGGTCTTTTTGGGCGACTCCAGCACGCCCAGGGTGATCAGCCATGTAACGGTCTGCTCCGCGGAGTTCATGGCTGCTGCCGCCGCCGCCGCCGCGCGGAGGGTAAATCCCAGCGAGGGGGGAAGCAATCGCGCGCCGCAGGAGGCTGTATTTGGCCTGTGCCCCCCCTAGGATCCCCCACCCCTGGCTTGGGGTTTCACATTGAAGCAGCAGAGGCCGGGGCCGCCGCTCCCTCCTCCCTCGCCATGGAGCTGCTGCAGATGACGACTCGCTTTGCGAAATCCAGTGGGTCCAGTTTCTCCCTCTCGTGCGTTTTGGCAGCTTGTCAACTGCCTTTTCATTACATACACATGAACCTGCAGCGCCTCCTCCCCCCGCCGCGGCGGCTGCCTCCGCATGACATCACTGACAGCCGGAGGAGAAGAAAAGACGCGAGGCCCCTTCTCTGCACACAGACCTGCGGCGGAGCCCGCGCCCCTCCAGCGGGCATGGCTCACTCAGGGCACAGCTGCTGCAGGCAGGTCTCCTTTGTAACACGCATCGAGCGCTGCTTGCACATATGTGGGGAGCTGCCGTCTCGCAGAGCTTGGCATCTGCAGCACGCGGGATACAAATGCAAACGTTTGAGCTATTGTATAAATGCATCCTGCGTAGGTAATAGGGACAGTGTGTGTGTGTGTTTATGTATTATATAGTCACACATATTACATGGGGATGTGTGTTCCCATGCACACACTGGCAAATCATATACATATTTATACACAACCCCAGTATCCACGGTCAGATTTAGCCAGGCTGTCTAGGAGACCATTTAAATCTCCCCCCCCCATATACATGGTGGCTAATATCGGTAATGTTTATACTGGCATTTTTCACCTAGAGGTAAAGTGGATATTTGATCTTCAAATCGTGGCATCCTTCAGGATTTTTTAGCATTCAAATAAGTGTGTGTGCCGTGTACTCTTTTACTACCCAGCAAGCCAACAGTTGCTGAGTGAACATTTTAATTCACTATGTAACCAGATGGATCCTAAACAGTGCAGAATGGACTCATAAATCTATCAGGAATAGGTTTATGCTGTATTGTGCTTGACCTTGGTAACGTTAACAACGATCTAACGTTGAACAAACAGTTTATGTTGTATGTGCCCTCTAGTGGAGGGTTGGTTTATGCCACTTGATTGCAATCAGTGAACTCGCCATATAAAAGAGAACAGATTTATAAATAATGGTTTTGTATCATTTGATATTTCTAAGTGAAAGTGTTTTACTACTATTACATTTGAAGCAGTCACTGACAGTGTTGCTTCTGGAGCCATACAGGCACTAGAAGAAAAAGAAACCTCGTGAAATAGCTTAACAAAGACTTCCACAAGAAAACTGCAGTTTTTTAAAGGAGCAGAATTGGTTAGACCAAGTCAGGCTTGGTCTACACTAAAAAGTTAGGTCCAAGGAAGCCACCTCACGTCGACCTGTTAATGTATGTGTCTACACTACCGGGTCCTTTACGGCAACCTAAGTCGCCTCTAATGTTGACTTCTGTAATCCAGCTCTGCGAGAGGCGTAGCACTTAATTCGATTTTCATGGGTCGACTGCGAGGTAGTGCAGCTGCAGCGTCAGCGATGTGCTGGGAAGGGCTCTCTGTGCACCCTTATTAACATTCTACCACCAAACAGAAAAGAGGATTGGGATGCTGTCTCTACTTTTGATAAAGCTGACCCATGCTGAACATTGTCAGGTTACCCTTACAGAGCTGACATCCCTGGGTTTCGTAAAAATATTCCTGAAGAGTAGATTTTTTGTCTTTGGAATGTTCCAAATTGTAACTGGTTGCAAACATTACCAGAGCAGGATACCCCTAAACTCCCCTGCAAAGCTACACACATCTGCCTATTTCAAATTACACAAGTTTAACACAGTGTATTGCATAAGCATTTTATATTATGTACAATTTTAATTTGGCATCTTTTGCAAGAACAAAGGAAAACACTTATAAAAATACACTTGGCTGTGATCAAATTGTTTTTGTTTAAACAGGAACAAAGGTGAATAGATTCATCAGTCCCTCATTGTTCTCTCTGCAAGTACGCTCATGTGGGTTTTATCAAATGTGAGTTTTATCAAAGGCTAAAGGGGAACATTTTTATGGGCATTCCTTCTAGGAACATTGGCAGCATACCCCTGGCCCAACTGATCCCATTTGGACATTTTACTCATTTGCTTACAGTTTATATGAGCAGCAATGAAGCCAATTATTAAAACAATGTATGGTGACTGAAGTGTTAGCTTCCCTGGCTATGTTCATTTCCAGGCATCATGTCTACAGTCTGCCATATGTTTCACTGGTTTACTTTGTGACTTTCCACAATTATAATTTATGGTAGCAGTTGCTAAGCCAGTGTAAAGTATTTACAAATATTTTGAAAATGAACCTGGTTTAGAATGTATTTGTGCCTTTTTCCCCATTTACTTCAGTTAAACTACTTCTATGAGTGAAATTATTCATGTGCTTAAGGCCTTGTCTAGACAAGACCCTGTTGAGGAACTTAAGGTCAACATTTTTCAAAGTGTTGAAGTGTCCACACTAGGTGCAAAGTTATGTTCAGAGTTTGGTAGCTAACATATTTTCAAACACAATCTGTTTTCTTAGCCTAGACAAGGCCCCTGTGGTTGCAGGATTGGCTCCATCATTAGTGGCCCATCACACTTTGCTATATGTTGCTGCTAAGCTCATTTTATACACACACGGGAAACATAGCAACTGCTGAAGGGCCATCTAGTCCAGTATCCTGTCTCTGACAGTGGCCAGCACCAGGTGCTTCAGAGGAAGGTGCAAGCAATCTTGCATGAGGCAGAACTAGGATAGTTTGTCCCCCTCATAATCCTTTATAGTTAGAGATTATCAAACTCAAAAACATGAGGTTTAATAACTTTTCCAAAATGTATGCTAACATTAAACTTTTGCTCACTTTTGCTTTTCTACTTACTCCTTCAACATACCATTTAACAGCAGCTAAATAACATATATCTGTATAAAAAAACAATAGAAGAATATTGGAACATTTGCTATTTTCATTACTCAGCAAACCGTATAGATGGCCAAACTAACTGGAAAACCTGTCAGCATACTTGCCAATAGCATAAGAAACAGTAAGAAAATGTTTCCAACCATTAGAGAAAAATTTTCAAAAGTGACTAAAAGATATTTAGGAGTACAAGTCCCTTTAGCTCTCAGTGGGACCCTTGTGCTACTAAATCGCTCTAGCACTTTTGAAAATCTCCCCATTAAATACTTTCATACAATATATATGTCATCTTCTGCATGTGGGTTCAGGAGAAGAAAAAGAAACTCCACAGTAGACCCAGCCAGAGACTCAGGCCAGCAGGAGCAGCTGCAGAGACAGCATCAACAGAGACCTTTGGAAACTAATCATGTCATCAAACCATTTTCTACAGTTTTCACTTTGAACAGTCTCTTCCCTCTCCTAATTGGCTGCTGGATCCAATCGCCCTTCCCCTCATACTCTCTTCACTTCAGCCTCCTACTTCCCTCCATGCCCCTCTCCATCCTGCCCTCCATCTTCTTCCCATTCTTTCTTTCCCCTTGCCTCCCTTTATTTTTTTCATTTTAGCTAATCCCTTCCTATCTTCCCTTCCCTCCTACCCTTGCCCTATAATGTAGTTAATACAAATAAAAATAAAGTGTAAAATAAACAAAATGCCACCCAAAAATTGTTTACAAATTTAAAATATCCTGGCAGTTCCATGACACTGACAAACCATCGTTCTGTTTGCTCTGCCTGTATGTTCTCATCTATCCCTTCCCCACACCCTGTGTCTGTCTTGTATATGTAGATTGACATCTAAAAAGTTTCTAAGATCATCTGAATCATAGGGCATGTTTCGACTAACTTTTGGAATAACCTAACCTTTGTAAACATATGCAGAGCCTGAAAAAATGATTGGGGCATTTACTCTCTTCGGGAAAGTGTAGGAAGCATTCTAGGGAGAGATTTATAGCACATATGCCAGCTTAGGAAATCTTAAAATTTCTGTGCTCTACACAAGAAAGCTATTTGGATACCTACAGGAAATCCCAGACTTAGAAACATCCTGGTCCCTTCCTGACTAAGGGAGAGAGAAATACATAATCCAGATTTGTTGGATATCTGGCGGTTTTTACAGCGGTTTTTACAGCATTCCATTTTGAGTGAATTATTAACTAAAGAAGCAGCAGTTGACATAATTTATTTGGACTTTCAAAAAGCTTTTGACAAAATCCCTTACAAGAGGTTATTAAGGAAATCAACTAGTTTGGGGATGATAGGTAAAGTACTGTCATGGATTAGAAACTTGCTAAGAGACAGAAAACAGAGAGCAGGAATAAATGGTCAGTTCTCAACATGACAACAGGTTAACAGTGGGGGTTCCCAATATTCCGCACTAGGACTGTTATTGTTTAATATAGCAGTTATCCAAAAATGGGCAGTGAGGTGGCAAACTGTGCCTCTTCTGTGTTTTTTAACTTTCTTTTGTGTTCCAGCCCACGCCCATTCATTTTTCGTTTCTTCTTTTTTCTGCTTTGTTTTCTCTTGTTACTATTTTTTGATTTTCAGTTCTGATACCCCTCCTGTTTATCACTGGAGAAGACGGTGAGATGTTTTGACCAGTTATACTTCTCTCTGTTCTCCTGTGCCTAAGAGAGGTGGGGACTTGGAAGGGAGCAGACTAACTAAAGGTCAATCCAGAATCGTGGTGACAGTCGATAGTTTGCAGTCTTGGAGTCATATTGGATCAATGGCTGTTTTTGGAAACCCGTGGGGGATGTATTTTTTCCTTCTGTATGTTTAATCTAGAGACTGACTGTTTCTTTCTGACCCTCCCCGCAAGGATCAACACTTATGTATTACAATGCAGAGCTATATTATTGCCATGTGTCCTACTTAAAGCTACCTTCAAAAAGAGCCTTGAAGCTTTAATTTGTGCAGGATCCGGCCTGTCCCCTTAACTGGAGTAAGCCACCATGGGCACTAACACCAGTGCTCCTTGTTATTCATTGACCACCTGCTAGCTTCTGAGTGCAGTTGAAGCTGTTGGTTACAATGTATAAATCTTAAAACCAGTGTTTTCCTACCTGGGGAGTAAATCCCCACTATCAGGGAAGTGCCAGGAGAGGTTAGGAGGGGAGAAAATGGGATAGAGGAACAGTGGAATGGGGGAAAACTGCCCGGCCATAGATCCACCCTGCTCCCACTGGAAATGTGCTTCTGCTGCTTCCTTCTCAGCTTC